AATCTTTGTCTTTGATATGAATAATAGGGAACGAATGATTTAAAAACGTTTTCCAGACTGACTGGTGAATAGACACCAGAAGTTGAATCCCTTATAATTGTAACCAGAAGCATGGTGGAGATGTTATTTTTACTATGGGGGAAGTATTGTATCCATTGTTATTTTGAGTGTGATATGACAGAAGAAAATAGTCTCTGTTTTTCTCCATCCTGTTACATCGCTTAACGCGCATCATTGATTCATCGACTCCGACACCAATCTAATCTCATCCTTGTCCAGGGAAAGACTAACGTGATTATGGCAAGAATTACGTTTCTTGGAGAAATAAACATTTATCATGATACGTTAACCATTGATGGTTATTCTCGCTTGATCGTAACATGTACTTTTTTGGCGCTCTGCCGGTGTATCACCAGATCAGCCCCTGTCGTGGATTAGAGTCCCAGACAACTATGCCAAGCTAGATTCAAGGTTTCATACTTTTAAGACTTCATTAGCATCCCATTATCTTAGTTCGTCTCACCAAGTCTTTGACATACTGTTTTGGTCATACTTGACTTTGATCTAGAAGACGCAACCAGGAAGTCTGCTCATGAAGCCGATTTTCTTGAAAACACATGGTGTGTATCACACTTGTCGAGCAGACGATATTTAATGGAGCAGACGTGACTTTAGGAACTGATTTTCTTTTACGTATCTTTCCAGACACGAGCTGTGAATGGATGGAGCAGAAGCAGGAATCGCCAATTTCCTTTCCCTATCGCTTCAGACAAAAAGCACTCGAGGAAAATTATCTGTCAAAACTTTCACTTTCGTTCTGCTCCCGCGTCTTCTGCTTTGATGACAAATGCGACGCCTTCTTATTGGTCAAATTATTCCATAGGAACAGCTTGTGTAGCTGAAGTGGTTTGTGATATTATTTGTTGTCAGCTTGTTGACAATGTAAGCAATGCCAAGGCTGTGTTCCTTCAATGACTTATTCACAACCAGACCTTGTAGACTAGCAGACGACTAGGATTGTCTTGGCATAAACACATTTACAGAGTGAGACATGTATATCTGGAAGATATATAGTCAACCGTAAACTGATCGAGAAAATACTTATTTCAACGAGGACGTGGAGTAGCACAGTGGTTAAAGCGTTCGCTTGTCACGCCGAAGACTCGGGTTCGAATCTACATGGGTACAATGTCTGAATCCCATTTCTGGTGTCTTTCCCCTTGAGATTCCTGGAATATAACTAAGCGCGCTGTAAAACATTATTCACTCACCCACATACTCACTTATTTCAGAGCCTAGAAGCGATGAGCTCAGTAACTGATAATTTGTTCAGGTTTATGTTTGTTTTCAAGTTTACAGTAAACTACGTTTATAACGAACACGCTTATAACGAACTGACGGACATAACGAACCTACTTTTTTGTCCCGACTATTTGCTGTCGTTATGCTGTATATATGCTTATAACAAACTACGGGTATAACGAACTAAAATTAGTGGTCCCTTTGAGTTCGTTATAACCGTAGTTTACTGTATATGTAAACTAATATGTGACCGTAAACATATCATAGTTTAATCTTTTGTTAATTAAACGTGGCTAAAATCACAGAAATCCGTAGTTGCTGTTATGTGGCAGCATATATTGTAAGTCTGTATTGTATTTCTGATGGTTGTTAGTGGCAGAAAAATGACGCGCTCATAAAATGTCAAGTGTTCTGTGGCCTATGGTGACAGTCGCACAGCTCGTAAAATAGAGTGACCTCCCTTAGTTTTATTTACATCTACAACTTCTTAATTTGAACCACATTCCGTCTAGCAATTGCTAAATTATTGCTAAATTAGATAACAATCGCACACACTTACATTACCTAAAGAAAACAATACATTTGAATCATTGTATGAACGTTATAGAAAAATAATCTCACAGCACACATAAATAAAGTGAATGTCGGTTAACATCTGCAGTTCGCAGTATGCCAGCTATAAGTCGGCGACCTGTAAATGATCGAGTCCGGACCAGACAAACCACTGACTGGGAGCATGTGGATGACACACAAGCCACAGAGCCTGACTACTCAATCAATTTTAGACGGCGTTAAGGGTCTGGATACCTGTAATTCCAGTGGGAAGAGGGACGCTGTTCAAACACTTTTCTTGTCCATGGCCCTTCTATTTGGATCATAGGGGCGGTGGGGTAGCCTGGTGGTTAAAGCGTTTGCTCTTCACGCCGAAGACCAGGGTTCGATTCCCAACATGGGTACAATGTGTGAAGGCCATTTCTGGTGTCACCCCACCGTGATATTAGTTGAATATTGCTAAAAGCGGCGTAAAACCATACTCACTCACTCACTATTTGTGTCAAATGTAATCTGTGATATTTGCCTTCCTGTTTTACTGTACAACCGCTTCTGTGGTGGAGTGGATAGACTGTCTGCCCGGAAAGCGGAAGGTCGATGGTTTGAACGGTTTAAAAATCAACTGGTCGTCGCAACTCAGTATGCTGTGTCTGAGTGGGGCATCCATACTAAACCGCGGCATGCTATCTTAGTTGGCTAGTGCTCTAACATCCCCATTACTCCAGACTAGTACACGCAGTCACACACGCACGACACAAGTGCATGCACGTCGTTATATTGAATGCGACGTTAAACCCCATTTAACCTCACCTTTGCTACATGTTATGATGAAAGTATAATTTGTTCTCATTGTTATGTGGCTGATGTTTTGAATATATAACTCCCTCGCTCACTTATAGCCCCTCATCACGTATCTACAACAGTTATCATGACAACCATAACAAAACATATTATAACAGTAATTGACGGTCCTCGTCAAAGGTTCACAATTAGGCGTTAAAATTGATATTTGTTGTTTCACGCCGCACTCAGCAATATTCCAGCTATATGACAGCGGTATGTAAATAATCGAGTCTGGACCAGACCATCCAGTGATTGACATCATGAGCATTGATCTACGCAAATGGCCAGCGAGCCTGACCACCCGACCCTGTTAGTCGCTTCTTACAAGCGTGGGTTGCAGAAGACCAGTTCTAACCTTCCTGACTTAATGAATCGGAATGCCAGGCTTAATGACTCGGTTGTTTGTGTGTCCTTGTCATTGAGCAAGAAACCAACAAACCAGTAGTTTTATTAATATACGGGACGTATCCGTGCTAGAAGACAGAGGTTTGCTGATTCAACTCAATGTTCCGAATGCAGTTTAATATACACAGTGCAAATTACACTTAAATGTATATAACTTGTTCCCTAAACTCTAGGGTTAGTAATGATAAATAGTGTTCATCGGCTAGGTAGATTAAGGGATGGCAAGACTGAACTTATAAATGCCATACCGTTATGGATCAGAATATCCTCCTATTTTCCTTGTCTGAATAAATACAGTTATTCCCTTATACGTCAATATACTGCAGTTATTGCCAGGAATTAGATGTGGAGGACTCTTCACGGTGGGAAGGCAGCATATGCGAGACACAGGCTTGCAGACTCAGCCGATGTATCGCCCACATACATCATGGCTGATGGTCACAACATGGGCGAGGCCTCTGTTGCTGGACGATTGAAGACTGCATTGGAAACATGCTAATAGATATCAGGATGACAGATTACATTCAGCACTCTCAAATTGTAAATTACGAGTGGCTGAATGAAAAAGTAATGGTGCGGTGATAAGCAATATTGAATCCCTTCATTTGTTGGGACGGTGATGGCGAAAAGCGAACAGAGTTTTAACCCAAGTCAGCTGTATTTCATATTCCAACAGCAGTTTATAGTACAAACATGTATCACAGACATTGGTGTGATGCTAAACCATGTCGGCCAGGCCAAAATGAGACATTTCAAAATGAAATATTAAAAATGAACATTTATATACTCAACGCACGGAAACAGCCTACCCACCCAGGCTTAAGTTTGTTTTATTTATTTGTTGTTTAACGCATCACTCAACAATATGATAGCCATTTGTATAAAATCGAGTCTGGACCAGGTAATCCAGTTATTGACATCATAGAGCATCAATCTACGCAAATGGGATATGATGACATGCATTACCTGAGACAGCGAACCTATATACTCGATCCTAGTCGCCGCGTACGACAAGAATAGTCATCTCTAATGACAAGCATGGGTTCCTGAAGACCAAGTCTTGAACGGATTACGCCCCTTTGGAGATCAAGGGTCAAATTAGGTGTCTGTATCCGTTAAGAGTCGAAGAAAACTGGAATCGGTTGGTCTGGCTTTGTGCTATAAACAACAGATTTGCCAGAACCAGATAGGATTGTTTACAGACAACATGTTGACATACTAACACAACATTCCTGAAGAGTGAATGCGATTTTGAAAATAAATCATTATGGTTTCAGGTGCGAATGAGTGATTCAAATGTTACAACCGAAACTGACCATCCGTCATGTAAGAGTGCCAGTCTGGTCACGTTAATAGGACATTTGCCAGAATTTGAATAGTTCATCAGGCTGAGACGACAAAACGTAAACGTTTATATGTTATGTTCCTGCTTCTTTGATGTGCAATGTGGGCGTGGGTGGTTTGATCCGGCCTTGCACAACATATTTCACAGTCTCTCTTAATGTGAGAGTAAAAATACAGTGACGCAGGAGTTGAGGTTAACCACTTTTTTTAAAGCCACAAGCACGTGTGTGGCTGACAAACTAAGAATCAGAATAAGGCCGAATCTGGGGTTCGACCCAGGACATTCGGATTCTGGTACGACTATGGGGACGCAACGCTGCTGGACGAATTGCACCTTGAAAGACTGGAGACCCTACTCCATTCCCTAAGATCCAGGACATGTGATTGGATATTCTGATTGCAGAAGGTTCAAAAGGCATGTTTACTTGTAAATATATACGTCTACCAATTGAAACACCGACACTGGCGGTGTTGTAAACCATCACTAATATAGCATGTCCTATCGACCTTGACCTTAGACACCAGGAGTGAGAAACGAAACGTGAAACGTGATATACATACAAGTTGTTTATTGATAAATGATATGTAAATGACATAATATACATGTATTGTTTGATAGGCATTTCTTACAGGTTGGCAGATGACAAAGTAGACACAATTTATGAATAAGGGTATCAGGACATCCTGTAACAGTATTAGGATCTATACCAAAACGTGGCAACAATACTACATTAAAGAAGTTGTTATCCATATATTGTGTCTACTTCGAACATAAATATAGTTTTTTTTTACAAAATTAATATTAATTACACTTTCAGCAAAATACCAAAAAGTGTGATTAACGGCATGTCACACTGTCCCAGTACAGACCATATTGATTAAACTGTCCATACATCTCATGCATTTGGCTTACATGGGGAAACTGGGGATTATAGGAAAGCTTCAATTGGTTGTACATCACAACAAAATTACCATATTCCTGACAAAGCAAGAGCAGGGAAAACTTCAAATCGACTTCACACATTGCACCTGTTTGTGGGATCGAATCCAACTATCCTTCTATCACTACCATTCCTCACTTCTCTTCTGATGAACATGAACAGGAAACTTGAAAATGGCGGTACCTAAATGACTGCTTGACAAAAATGGCCCTATAGTATATTCCTAGACTAATCTAGTCTCTGAAATGAACATATCATACAGAAAAAAAACTTGTTAAATTATCTTAATAGGGGAAAAAATCCCAAGTGATGCTAATCCTACATTTTTACCACTGTGGTGAACCTACTTGCACCTCTATGGTGCTGACAAACCAAGGGTTGTAATCTTGCAAATATCTGACACTCAGTGCATCCTGGTGCAGCTAAGGGATGCAACTCTGCACAGTGAAACACTTGTGCCACTGATTTTGATACAGGGTAAGTCAGTAACGGAAAGTGTGAAATGTGAAGGTTCACAGCATGCCTGGTTCAGCACAGACATGGCTGTACCCATTGGGTTTGAGATTCTTAATTAAATACCTTAGAGGTATGACATGAAACTGAGTGAATACAATGTCACTGATTTGTCTAGGATCACAAGCTAAATGCCCTTGTCAGGCAAAGTGGGAAACAATAATGTTACATTGTTCAAAATTGTCATTTATCAAAGTTCTTATTTTCCTAATTGCAGAGGTATTTTAACATTACATTCATTACAATAATGCACAAATAAGCCTCTTGCATTTTATTCATCCTGTTATCAGTGAAATACAGGTCACATTGACCAAGCCATCCCAATAGTTATATACATGTATTAACATGTTTTAGAATTTTTAAATTCCAACTTATTAATTTTTACTGACATTTGCTGCACACCGATATGTGCAGATCTAGATAAATCCCTGGACAGACATGATACGAGGGTATATGTGAACATATACGATATGAGGGTATATCTGAACACTTTGAGCCTGGCATATCTAGGTTGTTGTCATCCTTACCCCAGGTCAATCACTACAGACTTTTGCTGAATGGCTGTGTGCTGGATGTGGGTGGCTCCCACCATGTGACACACTTATTATGGGGCGAGGGAATTTAAGCATGGGTGAGGGTGTGGAAGATGAATCCTGCTCTGGAAGATGAACACACCACCAGCTCCATAAATGGAATCATTGGTAAAATCATGGTGAATATTATGCCACCTAATTTAAAAGATCCATCAAAGAACACTTTTGTGGCATACATCAATCTGGTCTTTTCCTCTGTCAGACAATGCTCCAGTTCACATCAGCATGTTGCAGTGGCTGCAGTACGGGACTGTGGATACAAGATTCTACCGTATCCAGTTAGTCACTCCTAATGACTGCCACCTATTTTCAAATTTGAAGAAAAACCCATAAGCAGGGTATGAGAAACAAGAATATGTTGCTGTTGTAGGGCTGGTTGACAGATCAGGATTTGATCATCTACAAAACAGGGATAACTGACCTGGATAAGTGGTGGAACTACGAGGGGACTATGTTGAAAAATAAATAAAGCTTCAGATAATATTTCGGTTCTATTTACAAGGCTCAAAGCTGTTTGATACCCCCTCGTACATGCCACCTCCTTACGTACGACACACTTTGGCACATCAACTCAACCCTTCCTTTACGGATGGACAAGCATATAAATGTCAATGAAACTATAAATACATGTAAATGTTTTCTGGTCAAGTGTACCATGTACTCAGCATTCACTCCACCAGTAAACCCCCTCCCTGTATATACTGTGACTGACATGTTTGATGTTACACTCCATCAGTAAACCCCCTCCCTGTATATACTCTGACTGACATGTTTGACGTCACACTCCATCAGTAAACCCCCTCCCTGTATATACTGTGACTGACATGTTTGACGTTAGACTCCATCAGTAAACCCCCTCCCTGTATATACTCTGACTGACATGTTTGACGTTACACTCCATCAGTAAACCCCCTCCCTGTATATACTCTGACTGACATGTTTGACGTCACACTCCATCAGTAAACCCCCTCTCTGTATATACTGTGACTGACATGTTTGATGTCACACTCCATCAGTAAACCCCCTCCCTGTATATACTGTGACTGACATGTTTGACGTTACACTCCATCAGTAAACCCCCTCCCTGTATATACTCTGACTGACATGTTTGATGTTACACTCCATCAGTAAACCCCCTCCCAGTATATACTGTGACTGACATGTTTGACGTTACACTCCATCAGTAAACCCCCTCCCTGTATATACTGTGACTGACATGTTTGACGTTACACTCCATCAGTAAACCCCCTCCCTGTATATACTCTGACTGACATGTTTGATGTTACACTCCATCAGTAAACCCCCTCCCTGTATATTCTGTGACTGACTTGTTTGACGTTACACTCCATCAGTAAACCCCCTCCCAGTATATACTGTGACTGACTTGTTTGACGTTACACTCCATCAGTAAACCCCCTCTCGGTATATACTGTGACTGACTTGTTTGACGTCACACTCCATCAGTAAACCCCCTTCCTGTATATACTGTGACTGACATGTTTGACGTCACACTCCATCAGTAAGCCCCCTCCCTGTATATACTGTGACTGACATGTTTGATGTTTCACCCACACACATTGTAATCAAGAAAACAGTCCGAGACACACCTGCACCAAGCTGGTAATGTTATTTTGGTCAAGCTTCCTAAAACTGAAATTAGAGTAATATAATTATTTCTATAAATCTTTGAAGAGGAGGTTTGTCCCATCGATTTTTCAAACGATTTTCAACTACTCTCAATACAATTGCAGCACTTTTGAAGTACTGTCAAACACGGCTGTGTCGAAGTTGAAGGACCTACGTAAATACTTCAAGTTACCCCGAGTCTCAACACAACCAAAAGTTATTAATAAGGAGGGAATAAACAGAGATGAAGTTTTTACTTGGAGTGAGTGAGTATGGTTTTAAGCTACTTTTAGCAATATTCCAACAATATCCCAGAAATGGGCTTCACACATTGTACCCATGTCGGGAATCGAGCCGGGTCTTCGGGATGACGAGCGAATGCTTTAACCACTAGGCTACCAGACTGCCCCTTTTACTTCGACACAACAAAGTTCGACACAACAGTGTTTGACTGTACTATTAATACAATACCAGCACTTTTCTTGAGAAATGGAAAATTCAGTATTTTTCAATGAACAGAGATAAATTGAAGCAGTTGGCTGAGAACAGTAGTTAAGTCATATCAACGCATGTAAGATTGTGATAGAGGAAAGGCCAAATTGATGAAGTTGTTTACCACTTTAGGGAACCCCACAAGCACGGTAATGGTGCTGACAAACCAAGTAACACAATCAGAGTAAATCTAGGACTTGAACCTAGGAACTGAGTTAGGAAAGTAGTACAGTGTGTCGAGAGAGAGGATGTTGATATTTTGGATCCCTCCCTTTTAAAAATGCTTGATCTGCCCTTGTAAAGGTCCTGTGATTAGAGGAATTATCAAATGTTACAGTACAGTACACATTACCTTTTCTTTTCTTTACAGGACCCTCATATTCTTGTAAGACCCTTGAAATTAACTAGTGGTGCCCTACGACCCCCAATTTTGTAGGTCAAGGTTATCCCTGGTATTATAACCCTAATCTGCTTCATGTACAACCCAGGACTATCAACTACAACACGTACATACACTCACATACTCCTGATGGCAGACTAGTAAATAATGAACACAATGACTTCAGCAATAACACAATGTGGTCACCCAGGACAGGTCTGTACAGATTATCACAGTCTAGACGCAGGGCAGCAGCAGCAGCAGCAGCAGCAACAGCAACAGCAGCAGCAGGTGCTAGCTCTTCATGTTCTTCTTGTCTGGGCCGGTGTCCTAAAATGCAACAGAAATACAAATAAAAGGAATGCATGCAGTGCAAAGCTATGTTACATTTGTTGTCTTAGGCATAATAGAAGGTATTAAAAGAATTCGTTCTCAGGCAATGACTTTTGAAAATATATGAAGGCGGGCAGTGATTTCCTTTTTTTGGTTGTTCAAAGTAGTATGTAACCAAATAAACAGTTGAGTACAATCAACCTGGGAAAGGGCCTTCCAACACAAATGTATTCCTTGATGAGAAAAACAATGGAATACAGAATGCCAGAGAGATACAACTTTATATACACTCACCTAGACGAAACAAAGTGATGACAAGCCATTTACAAGTCTAACAACCACTTAATTCAAACTCATCTTAAATACTTAAAAATTGACTTCTATATTAACTTGTATTTATAGAGGTACCGGTGTGGGCATTGTGTAAATATGGGTAATTAAAAATATATTGAAGTTCATTCTTATAAATAAATATGTCAACAAACATAACTTCAAAGACAGCTTATTTAATCATTAACACAAAAAATAAAGACAACGATGCAATTCAGTGACATCGTTCAGTGCAATAAGCAACTGAAGCCTGCCCACCTTATTATCAACCAATCAGGAAACATCAGACCGCTGGTGGGCATAGCCTTATGTTTTTCCAGTTTAACACAAAATATTGTTTGAATAGCCAATCAAATACCGTGGAATGACTTACATTTTACATATTGTGAAATGAGACATACCTGCATGACTTCTTTCTCATTGATATCCACAAGTATCCAGGTATAGAGTTTCCGGAGTTCAATCCTCAGTACGGCATACTTCAGGCTGTTGAGGCCGTCAGTCTTGTAGCGACTCTCACTGCCTTTTAATAACTTGTGACTGAAGCAGAGTGGAAACCATATCAGTTTAAGATAAAAATTAACACCAAATATTCCTTAAAATATTACATTTACAAGACAAGTACTGTACATCTATATTCAACATATGTCCAGCTTAAATGTAAATACGATCAGATGTTTAGCCATTTATTTGGAGAGAAATTTGTAGGTAGAATAATCATTGTGTCTAGAATTGTCAACCATGCCACACACTTCACTTTGAGGTATTATTCAAATGCGTAATAGCAAGTAATTGAATTTGTAACCTTGGTTACGAGACCTCATATACTGAATAAACACTCCCTCTCATGGTATATCTTCTATCTCACTAAAATCTTATATATTAATCTGATTTTACATATCTCACCATTAAGATAAAGGAATCAGATCTGCTGCTTTGAAAGCATTGCTTACTCGTGCCAGGCACTTAGAAACTCCATGCTGATTGGCTGAATAGAAAGTTCCTGTGACCTGACCCCGAACTAAACGTTTGCCTGATCTTGATTGGGAGAGATATTGAATAGGAGGAAGAAATGTGACTTTAATGTGATGTGTACATCTGTAGTCTTGATGACATAACACGTTGACTCATTGCTTTACTATGAGGGTGTCATAAAACTAAAATACCGTATTTGACTTAATAAGTGCCCAGGGCACTCTCAAAAATAGAAATAGGGGGCTCTTATTAGAATATTATTTAGGAGGAAAAAACAGAATTGAAAGATAACTGTTTATATACGACAGATATATTTTTCCTGAATTTAATTGCCCATAATTAAAGGTGTATATAACACACGTGTGCGTATTATACACAAATAAATAAGTCTTGTGTACATTGATCAATCGGGAGGGGTGCTAATTGGGATTGTTCACTTGCCAACATATTAGCAAATATCGCCGTGGGCGCTTATTAGAGCCGGGCACTTATTACTTCGAATACAGTAATTGTATTTTTCACTGCTTTAATTGTGACAGTATTTTTACAAACCATCATTATTATAACAGATATGCATCAAATGCACTTATCAAAGTCCTTAATATCCTGTTATAGTCAACCAAATTTAACTAAAACCACTGTGTGAAATGATGAAAAAAAAACTGCGAAAAAGTTCTCTTTCTGATGCTTTAATTTCCTTAATGCCAGCAATACCGCTGTATAATTAATTTCCCTTTTCATATATTTTATGATTTAGGAGACAGGTTTAGGAATATTGTATAGTGCTCTTAAACATATTAGACAAAATCTACTGCAACTAACCAGTCCGTGCCAAAACCTTTGGCGTCCATGGGTCTGAACTTGGCTCTTAGCATCAATTTCAATAGATTCTACTGTTATCATATGGCATTTACTGGCTGATTTTATGAGACCGAACAGAATTTTACCAGATTCAAGCTTCGGCCTTGTGGCTACAGTTGCAGGCTGACAAAGCAGTATACCATCATGGTTACATCTCTACTTGGGTGAATGAAGGGGGTGCAACAGTTCAGGACAGGGGACAAGGTACATATGCTGCAGTGGACTGTTTGTTTGTTGTTTAACGCCGCACTCAGCAATATTCCAACTATATGACGGCGGTCTGTAAATAATCAGGTCTTGACCAGACAATCCAGTGATTAATATCATGAGCATCAATCTACGCAATTGGGATCGATGACATGCATCAACCAAGTCAGCGAGCCTGACCACCCGGTCCCGTTAGTCGCCTCTTACGGCAAGCATGGTCACGCTGCAGTGGACTGAAGTGCCTAGGGGCTGATAATATCAGACCAGTTGTTCTCCTGTTCTTTTCCTGACTTGAGGGCCGCCTCCGTGGTCTTGTGGTAGATCGTCCGCCCGGAGAGCGGAAGGTCCGGGGTTCGATCCCCGGCCGCGTCATACCAAAAGACGTTAAAAGATGGTACTTGTTGTTACCCTGTCTGGCGCTCGACATTAAGGGGCTAAAACAAGGACTGGTCGGCTCGGAGTCAGTATACTGTGTCTGAGTGGGGTATTCATGTTAAACTGCGGCATGGTATCTCAGTGAGCTAGCACTATAAATCGGCATCAGTCCGGACTAGTACAAGCAGCCACACAAACACACACACGTACATGCACGTCGCTATATAAGTGCAATAATCTTGGACGCGACGTAAAACCCAATTTCACCTCACTCCTGACTTGAGCACATGTTAAGGGTATTTCATGTTAAAAAAACCCTAATATTCCATCTTCTGCAATATCTCAATTCTACCATTATCAGTCTACATCTTCTCACTGTTTTCCTCAACTAATCTAGGCGTAAGGGAGACAACTCTTCACACCCTACTACAAGTGTATTGATTCTCACGGAAATGCACTACAGATGTTTAACCTGTGAATGTGTACCCATAAAATGTTGCAAACATATCTCGGAACAATACAGCAGAATATGCACTGATGATATTTCTCCAAATGTCTTTGATTTTCTTCAACTAATTTTCATCGTACAATAAAACCACAGTTAACAATCTTGAATCTACTACTGGAATCAACACAGTAATGTTTAAGGACTAAATACAGAGAGATTTTGCAACATTTTTAGATATTTTTCCTTGTATAGTTTTGGTAACAAAAACCTGTTGCCACTGAGATAGTGAAAGAATGTGGATTCCTCCTATCCAGCACCCTGTTCCACAAAGCATTCGTAGTGTTAAGATGATCGTTAACTCCCATACTTTAACATAGGCTTATGGCAGTCGTAGCGCTACAATCGCTATGTTGAACAGTCCCTGGTCAGCAATATTCCAGCTATATCATGACACCCTGTAAATAGTGAAGCCAGGGGCAGACAAACCAGTGACAACATGTGTGATATCCCACACCAAGGTATGATAACCTGATCCCCATGTAATGTTGAACATACCAATCACCGAGAAAAAAACAACGCAAGATAAACATATTTTTATTGCATACCGTATTCAACGTGATAAGCGCCCCGCTCTAATAAGCACCCACGGCGACATTTGCTAAGATATTGGCTAGTGAACAATTCCAATTAGCACCCCTTCAGATTGATCAAAGTACACAAGACTTATTTATTTGCGTATAATACGCACTGGTGTGTTATATGCACCCTTAATTATGGGCATTTAATTCTGGAAAAATATATCTGTCGTACATAAACCTTTCAGGCTGTCAGCATAAACCACGAAATTTATCTTTCAACTTTCACTAAAATAACATTCTAATAAGAGAAATTCTAATTTTGAGAGCGCCCTGGGCGCTTATTATGTATATATACGGTATATAAGGTTTGTGCACGCACTTTTGATGTGCTTTATACCATGTCACTTTATACACAGAGTATAGGATTTGGGGTTGATTTCGAGGGCGTTGACAGAGGGTCGTCTTATACGTGGGGTCGCCTTATACACAGCGATATATGGTAACTCTCCCCACAGACTCGAACCAGGGCATAGGGTTTGTTTAAGATTATAATGGCTGTGAGACAAAATGATGCCATCTGATTCTATGAGACACCTCAATTGACAATGTCCAGTTCTATGAGACATTACAATGGATAATATGTTATTCTGATATACACATACCGTTGTGGGTTGGGCTCATCTTTAGCATGTGATAACATCTTGTATCTAGCTACCTCTGAGGAATATCTCATGATATTAAAGTTTTCACTGTGTATCCTGAAACATACAAAAAACAACAACATTGATTTAACAAGTCATGAAAGCCATCTTAAAGAGGCCCTGGCTCTGACAACTTCAGTTCATTCGTGACCAACTCGTGTAATAGCGAATAGCGACTAGTGCCCTTCTCATGGCAATTTTTACAACCGGCTCCGTCTAAGCACAAACGGGCATAGCTAAAAGAATTGCCAACTCGTTACATAATGATTCACGTATATTTCCCCATATATTATATGTATTTCAGATGCAATTTAAAGCACATCGGGACATGCAGTATTATACAGTATGATTACATATATAACCTTATCTTTAGTATATTTTTAGACGCATGACATACATGACATATGTAAAATCAGCAATTACGTTTGTCAGGGGTAAGTATTATTATTATTATTATGATCAGTAGAGTTGCAGCTGACTGAACATTCAACACATGCTGTTCCTATGACACCCTACCAACCTTAAAGTCGTTACACACAGCTGCACTTCCTATGTACACTTAACTACATGACAAAACTTGCTTTCATAGAAAATGTTTATGATCAATAATTATGCATACATATTGATATTGTGTAGTAGAGGGACGATACACCGATGCAATTGCAATATTATCCATCCTTATACAAGTATCAATCACATACGCACACTAAAGTAAAAAGTTTCATTTTTAACCTTAAATGTTTTATGTAATAAATGTAACACCAAACACTAATTACAAGTGAAAATGAGTAGTGAAAAGGTACATATTGGGGACACCAGAAATGGGCTTAACACATTGTACCCATGTGGAGAATCAAACCCGGGTCTTCGGCATTACTAGCAAACGCTTTAACCAGTAGGCTACACCACCGCCCCCCAACAAGCGTAGAGCCAGTATATGATGGGATCACTGTTATATGGACAAGCATGTATTTCATAGCTATTGCTCTAAGGTCAATTCTACTCCACCTCAAATACAGTATGTCTGTGACAGTCTTGAACGTCCAACATACAGACAAGTTCAAGCTGATTCAGTTACAAATACCATCACAACTTTGGCAAAGCCTCACCAGAAACTCCTGGCTGGAGACAAAATTATTTTGGAAAATGTAATTTAGGTAGTTTTTATCATGTACAATCACAAAGAAATAAAAAATAATTTATATCAAGTAGAAAGGCAATGCACAGTTCAAATGTCTTGTACATATACACCCTGCTAAACATACGTCATTACTATGTGTATTACAGTGTAACCATATACTGTATAATTGTCAGGAGATCACCTAGCAAGTGGTTCACTGTAGTCAAATCTTTACATCTGTCTCAATAAAATATGATTCAACCTAATTAAGAGTGCCTACAGCGGTCTTCTTCCACCATTGGAGGAGAACCAACATCAACTGATGGGCCTCCTCATCCGACAAGCCCGTGCCTGTAGGTTTAGTGTTCTGCTTATTGATTGCGCCCACAGACAAGGGATCCCTGGCGTGTCGTAGACTGTAAAACTATACTCCTAGTACCATCCATATATCACAAAGTGACTCCGTATATACAGTAATGGAGATAAATGTCTTGAGACTGGATACTAATTGACTTGCATGGATCCAGAAGTTGCAGCCTTGAGTACTGAATAATATTGACAATGTCCCATACTGGAACGTACAATATAGACATTTGGCCACACTCAACGTTTTAGACTTTTTTCTTTTTTTTTAATTTGTGTATTTTTCTAGAGCACTTACACGATTTTGCATGACAATATATCCAAAGAAATAAAGCATGACAACTTGACCAAAGCTTATTAAGTAATCTCTATTACAATTAATGACTGAAGTATACTTTGTTAATTAATAAAATTCAGTGAGTTCTTTCTGTATAAATTGGAATGTTGGTTGATTGTTATTATTTCTAAAGTTGAAAAGATTCGTTTTGACAAAGTAATGTTAAAAGTTAAAGCATTGTTTTATTTTGATAAATAACCGAAAAGTATCGTGTTTCAGAGACTTTCTTGAAACGGAAGTGAACACAAAAATAAGTATTGTGACTTCTCAAGTGCTGTCTGCTGGGCTAAGAGAATTTTGTGTATTTAGGAAATTTCAGCAAACATTTTCTTCGTCAAATAAAGAAAATCTGTATTTGCCAAATTAATTGTTTGCATTTTTGCAACTAATAAATCACATTAGTTTCTGTATAAATAACAGTGACATAAAAAGATGCAGAATCTGTTTCCATCTATGAAGGCTCATCAGCACAATTCAACCTAACAATTTTAAAGGAATTTGTAAACAGCAAATAAGAGTTTAGAGGACTTGGGCCATGGAACATATTGAGCTGTTGATAAATATAATGTTAATATGAGAACAAAAAATTATTAGTTTTAGAACATATTTTAGCTCTAATCCATAAAAAAGCATACTCATGTAAATCATATTAATGTTTGTTTGTTTGCTCTTTAACACCACACTCAACCATATTCCAGTTACATGATGGTGGTCTGTAAATAATCTGGTCTGGACCAGACAATCCAGTGATTGACATCATGAGCATCATTCCACACAATTGGGATATCATGACATGCATCAACCAAGTCAGCGAGCCTGAGGACCCGTTCCTGTTAGTCGCCTCTTACAACAAGCGTCATTGCTTTTACAACAAGCATCGGTTGCTGAAGACCTATTCTAACCCAGAGGGGCGGTCGGGAAGCCTAGTGGTTAAAGCGTTCGCTCGTCACGCCGAAGACCCGGGTTCGATTCCCGACATGGGTACAATGTGTGAAGCCGATTTCTGGTGTCCCCCGCCGTGATATTGCTGGAATATTGCTAAAAGTGGCGTAAAACCATACTCACTCACTCACTCACTCTAACCCAGACCTTCACAGGTTTATACATTATTAATGAGTTGCCCTGACATGCACACCAAGTTCCAGATTAACCAAAGAAAATGATAGGAAACTGAAAATCACACCAGAAATCCTTCATTGTACCATGTGTGCTGTGTGAGTATTACCTGTTGAACATGTCATCATCTTCACCGCCCCATCCAAAATACTTGTTGGAGAAGCCGTTCACCTGTATAAACTGTTCTTGTGTCAAGGCACTGACGCCCCCAAATATCTGTGTGTAGGGCAGCCTGGAAGAGTAAACAACCAACCTTCAACAAAAAACATTGAAATGTTTCTCACTTGACCAATATGACCTACGTGAAATGGGGTTGAAGGTTAATACTTAAATATAAGAAACGTGTGGCTGCTTGTACTAGTCTGGATTTATGCCGGTTTTAGTGCTAGCAAACTGAGTTACCAAGCCACAGTTTAACATGGATACTGAACCCAAGACCTATGATACTGACTCTCAGTCCTTCTTTATCATCTCAACGCGGAGCACTAGGTAGGGTAAACAGTAAATGGGCCGAGTGGGCTATCCTTCCCCAGGATGTGATTTGCATACTCATCTCTTCCATGGGCAGGAGATGTCAGGCCACTATCGATTCCAACAAGGGACATATTTATTGTAGCTGATCTTCACCTTGGACTTTTCCTCTGTACCGATAACTGAGATGACTACAATCACCAAGTGTTCTCTCCACAACATTTTGGCTCAATACCTTGTACGTTGTACGTAAATATGCATTATCCTACCTCACACAAATCTGGCTTTATGTTTCTTTTTTTGAAGAGTATATTTCTCACAGAGACATTTGATGACTCACTTTCTGAAAAGTCCCATTTTCAGACTTATAACAGTTTATGTAATAATTGCAGGCTTTAGATATAATGTATGATTAGTTGAAAGTAGACATGTGTTCTGAAATACTTTGAAATAATGTTTTTACTACATTATGAACTAACAGGTGAAAAATACAATATTTTCTTACAGTCCGCACACATGGCAACTATTATGGAAGTAAGTTGACGTCGAACGTCTTTCTTTCAGACGTCACAGCACAATTGTTTCCTAGCACTCATAAGGCCCCTTTTCTCCTGATGGGTTACATACATTGCAAGCTTATTACTGATGATTGTGAGTGGCAGCTAATTGAAGTGTACATAAAATGTCAAGTGACATGTTTTTCTATATTTCAAATGGAAACAGTTTCCAAATGGCTGCTTGTGCCTGTATAGGAGTGAGACAAAGGCAAATCAACATCTTCTATGATGTGACTCATGACTTATCGACGAAGGCAAATCAACATCTTCTATGATGTGACTCATGACTTATCGACGAAGGCAAATCAACATCTTCTATGATGTGACTCATGACTTATCTACTAGTCCAGTGTGGACAGGATACCTTTTGGAAAACAGATTTTTCGGCCTGTTTCCAGCACTGTTATCTAGATTCAAGAACAGAGCATGTGCCTCATTCAAGAGTGAGTGAGTTGGGTTTCCAGTTATATCACGGTGTGTCAGCGTAATGTGGGAGGAAAGCCCAAAGTGATGCAGGTCTCAGACGTTTACCATTTCGTTGAAACCCATGAGCACGTGTATGGTGCTGACAAACCTAGAAACATAATCGGGGTCAACTTGGATTCGAACCCACAATCATAGATTTCTGGCTGGCCAAAGGGACACAACGAATCGCGGCGCCTTAGACGACTGGGCCATCTGTGCCCCCCTCATTCAAGACATTCTCATGTAACAAATTCTGAAAATTTGTCAGTGCAGAGACTTATGTAATAGGTCCTGTTAAATATTGCTGTCACACATTTGACCCATTGTATTGCTTTTATGATTGTAAACCTCATCTTCTGTATTTCAATATATTTTGTTATTTATTTATTGTGTGGATATCTACTGATTTCACAAATTAGTTCTGTACATACTGATTTCTGCATTAACAACTAGGGAATAAACTCGTAACAATATGTGTTGGAATACATTTACCAAGTACTCCTATTATAATACTTACACAACTACTCATATGTCTTATGTGTTATTAAAGTAATTACAGTGGTTAACTTTCTAAAGTCAGACCATAGAGCTATTCAACATGCTACCTACTATTACAATATTCATGACAGTATGAGGTAATCTAGAGCTCTTGGTGTAGAATACCTCCTGGGTGCAACATTTTATATATCATATCCATATTTTGATATCTTTTTAGAGACATTTGGGACAATATATCACAATGTATCCCACTATTTCCATGAATTGTTGCAATAAACATGACCAAGTTCTTTGTCAATGCACCCAGGAATTGGTGGGCACTTATTCTACCTCCTGATCCCCACAGACCAGACAGGATCAAGGAGTCCCGTCCACCATTACACAAGCCGCCTGCCTGTCTGTTGGTGTGCCCTACACTTTTGGTACTTATACGTCATCCCCCAGACATAAAGGAATTGGTCATGGTGACTATTCTCAGTTACAAAGATCATAAAAAAACTTTCCATTTAAGAATTCCTTTTCCATATGAACTTCTATTCGGTAAACTTTCTCAAGCATGGAATGGATGTCAGGGTCCATTATTTTAAACGTTGGTTATTTGCATAGTGCATCAAAAACTTTCCATTTAAGATTTCCATTTCATATGACTTTTCAAGTGGTAAACGTGAAATGGATGTTGGTGTCCATTATTTTAAAGGTAGGTTACCATAGCGATCCTCGCAGTAAACAGTGATGTCATCTGCGGTGGTCAAGTGATGACAACCATAATCTCACATACCACTCATATACCAACTGACACGCTATTCCAGCTGACCAGAGGTTTGCCACAACAACATCATGAATATAGAACCAAGGTAACTGATCATATTATCCTCCCAATCTTAATCCCCTTGTGCAACAAACATTGGTCCCATGGAATCAATACTACTTTGAAAGTCATCCGTTTTGCACTAATTAGATAAGCATGCACTACCAGGACACAATCTTATTTAAATCAATCCCAAATTTTCTGAAAGTGGGAGGGTGTTCTGGGACAAATTCAATATCAAGTATTTTACTGACATGCTTTATGCAGTTTGAATGGTATCTGGAAGTAAAATGGTGAATAATTCATTACTGTAATGGTTTTGTTGGCCCTGTGATCACACCACAAAGCAGGTCATCCAATAATCTTCATGAATACACATGAACATATCTCCCATCTCCTGATCAGGCAATGCATACATCTTAGAGTCAGCTACTGTATCCATAATAATACTCCTTGTCACACAATTACAAGTTTGTAAAAAAAACAACCTTATTGAACCACAAAAATGCATTGATTCAATGCAGACTGCCTTCCCATTCCATAGTTTGTTCACATATTTTTAATTATGCAAAAACTTATAATATAATTTTCTTAACTGTTGCAGACACATCCATTTAGACTTTGATTTAAGATGGTCATAACAAAGTGTACCACAACATACTGCTGGTGGACGAAGATCAGACCATGGTGGTCCTGTTGAAGGGTTGTCACACACTGGTATAACCATGACAGCCATACATCTCCCATCTTCCAGAGGCAAGGGTGTTAACTGACTGTAAATGTCCAGTTTCCACCCTTGCCGAACTATGCTAGAATTTCCAGGCTCGATCGTAGCGCTACCAGTGGCTATAATGAGTAATGTCCCTCCAACTGACCAATCAGATTATATCTCTCATATCACTTGCATTTGCTTCAAACAAAATGGTGGTGCCCAGTCAAGACAATCTGATCGATAATCAAGATCTATTTTGTAATTAAACAGAAACATGAAAAAATTTGCAAAACATCTGTTGACGCCTAGTTGGCTAACACATGCATTGCAAATCCTGCAGTCAACCGAAATCTGCATGTTGAAGTCCATGTTGTTTACAAACCGGATGTCTAGTTTGGAACAAGAATTTGATTGGACTATTCATAGACTCGGTAGTCCAGCCAAAATGTAACTCGGGAATTAAAGCCTTGTTCGGCAAGGGTGGCAACTGGACTTTTGCAGTCAGTTAACACCCTTGCCTCAGGAAGATGTCCATCACCACTAAAAGATTCTTGGGCCATGCATTTAAGTTGTTTAGGTGTACAGATTTTGTTTCCAGATTAGTCTGAGTCCAAGATTTGACAGATTCCACTGAAGATCTTACTTGTACTTGAGCTTGTCGATGGCAACGGACATGTGTCTGGGCATCTCCGGGCAGGTGTAGAGGTTCCGGTCATCCTCCGGGATCAGATCCACGTCGTGGAAGATGAAGCAGGTGTAGTTGTGCTGCTTAATGGCCTCAGCGTACCCGATGTTGAACAGCATGGCTCTGTTGAACTTCACATCCGATACCTGCACAGAAAAATTTCAGGTTTTTTTCATAATAAGTTTCTAGTGTCATATTTGAACAATTGAATGAGTCATGTGACACTATAACTAGTATCATTTGTATACTCCCCAGGGAGCTGAGAATGCACACTGTTCTATTAACTGGCATACTATTGTTTAAAAAGTCAGTCCCATTATAATACTTAATAGGACACTCAGCTTTGGGATTCATCGAAATGCACATGCCCACACTTTGCAGAGATGTACACTTGACCTCTAAATACTGGTAACACAGCATGATGAGTTCTCTCTGAGGGTTAGGTAGGGCTGGGACGGGTCACTCGGGTACTTGGGTCGGGTGGGTCCTGAGTAGGACCTTGGTACCCACATGACTCCCCGGACCCGTGGTCAGTCACGTGACATACTGTTTAATGACATTAACAATAAAACTCAATGGTTACACTACAAGTATAGCTAATGTTCACATTTCTTTCTCACTATGCAAGTGTAGCAGGGCGTGGAGTCATCCCACAGGTGACATCCCCACCTTGTCAGCTTGCTGACGGGGTTAACCTCTTTGGTCATGTGGACAAGGCGTCCGACCTCGGATCAGAAGGTCCGTGGTTCGAATCCCATCACGGGACTCGGAAATTTTATGGCCCCCAATGTGGGGCTGAGCACGTTCATATTGAATTTGAGCAAAATAAACGTGCCTTCTGTTGATGGGGGAGTATGTAGCAGGGCATGGAGTCATCCCACAGATGACATCCTTACCTTATCAGCTTGCTGACGGGGTTAACCTCTTTGGTCTTGTGGACAAGACCTCGGCGTCCGACCTCGGATCAGAATGTCACGGGACTCAGAAATTTTATGGCCGCTAGACAGGCATTCGTTCTGACTTTTATATGTTTGAGTAAGGACAAAGCGTCTATCAACTGCAAAGTATACATGACCAGATTGTTTTATACATGTATCTAAATAGTTTTTGCAAGGGCTGCGGTAAAACAATTCCCATTCGGACATTTTGTACCCAACTCTTGAGACCTATAGCGGGTATCTGGGTAGGGCCGGGTAATAGGATGTCGGGTACCAAGGTAGTAAATTTGGACTCGTCCCAGCCCTAGTGGTAAGTGCACTAGATTTAGTCCTCCAGTACCCGTAACTGAAATAACATTCTATCATACAAAGAACCATCTTCTCTGAGAGTTGGTTATAAAACAACCTCATCCCATTAACAAACTATCTTCAAACCCCCTGGAATAACAAGACTTATTCAGTTAACAGGATATGGTTATTATATTGATTATTCTAATAACATACCAACTGCTGGGCAGGAGTACAGTCCTTTCCAGCTACCATGCCCCGCTCTAATAAGCACCCAAAGCGATATTGGCTAATATATTGGCTAGTGAACAATCCCAATTAGCACCCCTTCCGATTGATCAATGTACACAAGACTTATTTATGCACCCTTAATTATGGGCAATTAAATTCTGGAAAAGTACATGGGTCGTATATATAAACATTCCAGGCTGTCAGCATAAACCAAAATTTATCTTTCAACCAAAGTAATATTCTAATAAGAGCCCCCTATTTCTAATTTTGAGAGCACCCTGGGCGCTTATTACGTCGAATACGGTATCTGTGTCGTGGTATATTGCCCACAGGGGCCCAGATATCGGATGCTATATTTCAGTAAGTCCCACTGAGAAGTATCATTGCCTGGCTAATGTATGCCTATTGATCCACTGATATGATTGCTTGCAAAACTGCCTAAGTGGCTTGATGGCATGACGGGATTCTGATTGTAGAAGATGACTGTCCATTGTAGATGAAGTCACAGACATTTTGACTGAATGTCATAAGAACAATGGCTTGCCTTAGTTCATGTATGTTACCCATTTTGTACTAATTGTTCTCATGAACGCAGACTAGTGTTAACACAAAAATTAACACAAGCACATGTCACAACTACCTGTCCTTCACCAAGGAACTGCCCCAATAAATAAAGTCCCACAGATAATAGGGATGCAACGATACACCTAGGTCACGATACGATACATATCTTGATACTTACATCACGATTTCATACGTATCTCGATACGCTACGATACTCATAGTGACAAGAGAAGACAAGAGATAAATGAATTAAACTTAATTTATTAGAATGAAAAATTAAATGAAAGTGAATGACTGTTCTTGAGTCATAAAATATATACTGTAATGAGTATTTTAACTTAATGAATCATCTGCCCTTTCCATGTAATGGCTAGCAAACACAAAAGTAACAGTCCTACATGGACTAGATAAGCACCAGTAACTTGCCATTTTCACAGTAAGACCCCGGTGGTTTCTCTAGCAAAGGACGAGCAGCTGCTTTTTCCGACATGTTTGAGTTAGAGACTGCTCAGCCAATCAGAAAGCTTGAACTGCTACTGATATACAAAGCTAGCATAGCCGCTGTATTTTTGAAGACGTACGTGTTGTGTAGTGAAAATTATATTGTCCCTAGGTTTTTATGACTTGGTCCTAATTTGAAATTCATTTAAAACACATTAAACACATGATAAAAGTTTATTAAAATGGTATCGTGAAAAATCAAGATACAGCACCTCACAAATCGCGCGCTGTATAGTACGGAGTGAATTGCGATGCATCGGTGTCCCGGAATATTGTTTCAGCCCTACCACATAATCCTCAACTTATACACAAGGAGACAAATTTGTTGTCAAAGATCAAGCGGCAGAGATCTCAGCAGACTTTGATTAAACATTGACAAAACTTAAGTTTTATTTTATAGTTACTTGCCTATTAAATACCCCTTCAACACAGCTGCATTTTCCGTAAACAGAATAATACCTTTTTAATTTCTGAATGCCCATGTTTATTTTGTGAATCCTTTTGTGCATTAAGTTCGTACAAATATTCAACATTTTGTATTAGGGTGAAAGTGCATCTGTCACAGGCTTCATATAATAACTATTGCCAGAAGATTATATACTTGTTGTTGGAAGATATTCTTTTTATGTGTTCCATTCACCACGCCATGACAATTTTTGCATTAAAATACAAGGAATTTTTAACCCAGGAGTCAACATACACTGGTTCCACGGCTGTCACATCATAATACTTTATCTGATCACTACATGAGCATTCATCAAAGGTCATTTCCCTTAACCCGTAGACCCTTTTGGGTAATATGGTGAGATATTTTCACTTTGAGAGATAGGTGAGGCAACCTGTACCATATACTGGAATAATGTTCATTAGTACAAACAACCATAGACTCTAGGTGGGTTATACATGTATTGACAAACTTAGCTTCATGACAAAGACGCTATACAAAGTAGACACAATTTATGGATAACTACTCTTTATTTACTGTAAAGGCAACATTTTCTTATAGATCCTTATACCATTGTCAATCTATACCGAAACCTTGCCTTTTCAGTAAAAAAAGAAGTTGTTATCAATAAATTGTGTCTACATTATCATCCGACAACTTCTTAGTGATGCCTATCATACAATTCAAAGACGCTAGAGTCAAGAGACTGCCTCAGCAGGAAGCGATGGATGACCTTGGTCAACTTCAAATTACAGAATGTACAGTGTGTTATACTTAGAATTTATACTTACTGGTTCCACGACAAAGATGCCATAGTCGAGTTCCTGTCTCTGCAGGAAGTGATGGATGTTGGTCATGAAGATCTTGAGGTGGGACGGCCTGTCCCGGAATGGGATGATGATGGCGACATGGTGCCGAGACGTGCAAGTGTCAGGCCACCACCGACCTCCAGCCTTCACAGCAGAATTCATGGCCTCAATATTTCTATTGCTGTACACATTCTTGTCAACTTTCACTGGACCCTCTGAAGAAGAAGATAAACAGTAAAATTCCTCACATAAAAGAAATTACTGGCGTATTCATAAACATAGATGCATAGACTCTTATTTGAACCTAAACATAATCCCATAGTCGACTTTGTATAAATAATTGTTGCTATTTCAAATTGAACAAATGTCAATGTATGATGATGGAAAATTCATGCCTAAGCATATACATGATATATAATCAATGAATACACATCGCATTGAACTGAACATTGTTTTTAGCAGAGATTTCTTAGGAATATGTAAAGGGTTTTGTCACTTTTCTACAATGGTCCTCAAAGCTAAAGTACTATAACATCTCTTCATATGGCATATCATCACCTACAACATGTTTTTTACTTGGCCAATTAGGTGAGGTGAGGTGAAATGGGGTTTAACGTTTGTGTGTGTGCCTGCAATACAAAATGTAAGAAATGTTATGTTTGGGATTACACTTTCAGATTGTTGTACTTATTTGGGTTGAGTCACATCCGGGATTTGAACCCACACTGCCATTTAGAAAGTGGTCAAAAGTAACAAATGTTATATTTGTCAGAGGGGTACACAAAGTACGTGATCTAGACTACCAGTTGAAGCCTCAGTGGCTGATTGGGTTAGATCGCTGACTTTGTGTGCTGGCAATTAGGTGCCTCACTCTAAGAATGTGGGTTTGAATTCCCAGGTGTGATTCAACCACAATAAGTACTAGAATCTGTACTTAATAAGAAAGTGTTATCCTAAACATAGCATTTGTTACATTTGACCACTTTCTAAACGGCATTGTGGGATCTTAGACAGCAATACAGTTGGTGATTCCTGGAGGAACGTTCAACAGACTGCACCACAGTGTGATTCAAGGAAAAATGTTTCAGCTAACACATGATGTGCACATGTCTTCCTGTACCCTACCATTCCTACAATGTCTGTCACATGCTGCCACTATATCAAAGGTTAAATCAATTGCTCTAATAGAGTTGTGGCCAGTCTTACTTGGGGCTTTTATGGGTCATAATACTGACCAAATGTGGGAACGCCCAGTATTTCCTTTCTGTATGGAAATACAGAACTTCTACAATATGATCTCGGGATTTGTATCTGCCCACCATTAACAAAACATTCTTTTTGTGATATACTACATATTTATTGTGCCAAGAATTTAACTTTGTGTTCCCTTCACTCTTTTTACTTTTCATATTTCATAAATTATGAAATGTGAATTTGACATTATGTTTGTCCAAAAAAGTAATTCTGACACAGACAATAATCAAGGTTGAAACGAATAATTATTGCCTCCATTACTGTGATAGATATACATGATATATAATGTAAACTTTCAAAAGATTAATTCAGCCATGTGTATTATACACACAAAATACACTAATGACACTCAAGTACAGGACTTTTGAACCCTGCACTCATTATCAAGCCTGACCAGGTTAGGAGTGCACAAAGTTGGCCCTAAAATATGGCATTTCGAACCCTGCGCACACTATGGGGCAGGACAAAGTAAGGCCCTACATCAGACTAGAGAGCAAGAGTGATTGAGTGGGTGGGATGAGTGAGTGGGTGAGTGAGTGAGTGAGTGAGTGAGTGAGTGAGTGAGTGAGTGAGTGAGAAGTGAGTGAGTGAGTGAGTGAGTGGCGGGGGACACCAGAAATGGGCTTCACACATTGTACCCATGTCCGGAATCGAACCTGGGTCTTCGACGTGACGAGCGAAGTTTTAACCACTAGGCTACCCGACCGCCGCCTAGAGGGCAAGAAAGTCAGCACTAAGATACAGGAATTTTGAACTGCACTTACTATGGGGCACAAGAATGTAAGGACTTACCTAGGTTAGAGGGGATGAGGGGACACAGAGGCAGCCTGGGCTTATCATCTGAAGAATCTCTGTTAGGTCTTCCTGTCAACAAATGCCGAAGACTGTTTCCAGAAATATTAGTCTTCTGTTTCATCAGGAAGCCTCTCAAATACATTGACATCCCTGATGTAGAATTGAAGTGGATCATGAAATTGAAGGCAAACTCAAACACCAAAAGACATGCCAGGACTGATGCCACGATCATGAATCTACTGACGAAGAAGGAGCGTATGTAGGGCAGTGTAGCTCTAATTACTGCCATTGGTGAGATTCTCATCCTCTTGTTTGTGGGGAGCATTATGCAAGGCAGTGGTGCAGATTACTGGATGGACTGTTTCCGCCTCTTCATGTTTACAGATCTATATCAGGTCTGTGAGAGTTGTTCACCTCCTGTCTGAAAACAAAAAAGAACAACATCACAATATGTCTCATGATCAATGAAAACATAGACCTGTATAAACGGTCATCGAGATTTATTGTCTTGATTTACCAGTAATGGCAATTGATTTGTTAATCAATCTAAATTTGTTCCATGTCATACGTTGCTCCAGTATGAACAAGTTCAAGATAGACTTCATGAAGCATCAAAAGACCCATATTGAACATCGCTTCAAGCATTCAGCCAACAGTGAGTGAATGTAGTTTTACAACACTTTTGGGGCGGTTGGGTAGCCTAGTGGTTAAAGCGTTCGCTCGTCACGCCGAAGGCCCGGGTTCGATTCCCGACATGGGTACAATGTGTGAAGCCCATTTCTGGTGTCCCCAGCCGTGATATTGCTGGATTATTGCTAAAAGCGGCATAAAACCATACTCACTCATTCACTACAACACTTTAAGCACTATTCCAGCACTATCACAACGGGGAATACTGGAAATGGGCTTCACACATTGTATCTATGTAAGGAATCAAACCCGGTCCTTCAGCGTGACGACCGAAACGCTACCCCACCACTCTTCTCGGCTGGTCTCATACCGTATTCAACGTAATAAGCGCCCAGGGCGCTCTCAAAAATAGAAATAGGGGGCGCTTATTGGAATATTATTTTGATTTGAAAGATTGTAAATTTCGTGGTTCATTCTAACAGCCTGAAATGTTTACATACGACAGATATATTTTTCAAGTATTAAATTGCCCATAATTAAGGGTGGTATAACACATGAGTGCGTATTAAACACGAATAAATAATTCTTGTGTACATTGATCAATCGGAAGGGGTGCTGATTGGGATTGTTCACTAGCCAATATAATAGCAAAAGAGCGGGGCGCTTATTACGTCGAATACGGTAAATGAATTTCTAAGTCCTTGAAATGTTATGTGCACACCATTCAAACAAATGTGGATACAGAACATTGAAGTAAAAGACAAAGACCAGCTATCTAAAAATTGTATTTGCTCCAATAACCAGGATTAACTATCAGTGAACAACAAGGCTGACCAAGAACTTTCCTATGGAAAGATACAGAGAGAGAATATTTTCAATGTATAATCTTTCAGATTCTGATTAATGATTGCTCATTAATCAATCCCTTTTTTAAACTACAACTTCAAAGCCATATTTTTCTGTGTAGCACAGTGCTATACGTAAACTCATTCAGTCTCATAATCATGATAAGAGCCTCTCCCTGAAACTCTGTGGACAGATTACTGGTACACTTATATTTCATTTCACAAGTGACAGCCAGTAGTTCTCACCAGGCAATGCTATTATACGCAATTAGCCCTCTTCCAGTAATGGTATGGATTTGGGTAGGAGAGATGAATACTTCCTTAATTGCTTGGGACTGGCTTGAGCATTAACATGATAAAGCTCTCATTCATACACTGTGCGTCATGAAATCATTTCTACATTTGTCATATTTATCCTAAACTGCTTATGAATTAGAACAATAAACGATCATAACACCTACAAAGCTAAAAGAAAGAAAAAAATATTTTCCTTTCTTTTATAAATGATAATGACGATAATGGTCATCTGCACTGCTGGCAGACACAGAAGGAGATCATTATGATATCAATAAATAACTGTCAATGTCCAGAGCATCTTTCTGCCTAAAGGCAGCAGCACTCTGACATAACAGTAGCCACACAATGTTCTTTCATCTCTCTGTCTGAATAATGTTCACTGTGAATGTCATGGGATGCAATAGTATGGCTGTTAGAATTATTGAAAGTAAATCAATTGCAGCAGGCATGATTTAATTGACATTTCTATTCTGTTAAGAAATACAACCTAAGGTTCAGACTGGCCAGGTCCACGTCACTTTCTGCCCTTAATCGTGTCGTTTTGTTTCATAGGTTGCCTTATGTGTAGGTTACCCTTTGTGGAGGTTCCCCTATGTGTAGGTTACCCTTTGTGGAGGTTCCCCTATGTGGAGGTTACCCTTTGTGAAGGTTTCCCTATTGGTGGGTTCCCCTATGCGGGGGTTCACCTCTGTGTAGGTTCCCCTCTGTGGGTGTTCCCCTATGTGGAGGTTACCCTTTGTAGAGGTTCCCCAATGTGGTTCCCCTATGGGTAGGTTACCCTATGTGGAGGTTCCCTGCTGTTGAAGTTTCCCTATGTGGAGGTTCCCCTATGTGGGGGTTCAGCTCTGTGGAGGTTCCACTATGTGGGGGTTCCCCTATGTGGAGGTTACCCTTTGTGAAGGTTTCCCTATGGGTAGGTTCCCCTATGTGGGGGTTCACCTCTGTGTAGGTTCCCCTCTGTGGGTGTTCCCCTATGTGGAGGTTACCCTTTGTAGAGGTTCCCCAATGTGGTTCCCCTATGGGTAGGTTACCCTATGTGGAGGTTCCCTGCTGTTGACGTTTCCCTATGTGGAGGTTCCCCTATGTGGGGATTCCGCTCTGTGGAGGTTCCACTATGTGGGGGTTCCCCTATGGGGTTGTTCCCCTCTGTGGTGGTTCCCCTATGTGGAGGTTTCTCTATGTGGAGGTTCCTGTATGTGGAGGTTCCAGTATGTGGAGGTTCCCCCATGTGTATGTTCCCTAAAGTGACGGTTCCCTTATACAGAGAGGTAGGCACTGATATAACAGTGAGATCATTAAGTAGATAGGTACACACATTCAGGTGTCAATAGTTTGTCTACGGTCCACAACACTGCACAGCTTTCTGTTCTGTCAATGCAGCTAACTGTACTCATAACCAACTTCTTCTCTGGACACCCATGCAGATCTGGTCGAGAATAGGTCTTCAGCAACTCATGCTTACAGTAAGAGAGACTAACCGGATCGGGTGGTCAGGCTCGCTGACTTGGTTGATGTATGTCATTGTATCCCAATTGCTCAGATCGATGGTCATGATGTCAAGCACTGGATTGTCTGGTCCATATCATCTTCCCGAGGCAAGTGAGTTAACTAACTATAAAAGTACAGTTTCCACCCTTGCCGAACTAGGCTGGAATTCCTGGGCTCGATCGTAGCGCCACCAGTGGCTATTACGAGTTATGTCCTTTCTATGCCTCTCCTATTGACCAATCAGATTCAACCTCTCCTATCACTTGCATTTGCTTCAAACAAAACGGTGGCGCCCAGTCAAGACGATCTGATTGATAATCAAGATCTATATTGTGATAAAACGAGTCTTACATCGCGAAGTGCATCAAATCACGTGAGCACCTTGATTTAAAGCATAAAAAGATTTAGAAAATATCTGTTGACAACGAGTTAGTGGTGCACATGCTTTTCAAATCCTGCAGTCGAACGAAATCTAAATGACACTTTACGAACCAGATTTCGATTTCGGTGTGCGATTTTGATTGGACTATGCACAGACTCGTTAGTCCAGCCAAAATGTAACTCCATAATACCAGCCTAGCTCGGCAAGGGTGGAAACTGGACTTCTATAGTCAGTTAACTCACTTGCCTCGGGAAGATGGGTCCATATATATAGGTGGAATATTGCTGAGTGCAACAAACACACAAAATTTGTTATAACAGATCAGGCCAGCTTGATATGACTTCAATGCATATTGAGATAAAAGTGAAGTCACATCCCACAATTCCCTTTCACATGCTGTACATCATCACCCACAGAGGAAGTCAGCATCCTGGCGTCCCATCATGTTAACCGTCACTTGTGTAGACAACACAAAAACACAGAATGTGAAAAACGGAAGTTTTTTTTAATTTCAATTCTAAAAAAATATTCTTTAGAAAGGTCGTCATACCTCATTGGGCCCATCTTCAGTAAACTTTAAATTTTACCAGGAATGAGTGAGTGCACAGTTTAATGCAGCTTATTTCAGTTAAATGTGTGAGAAATCCCGAGTGGTGCAGGTCTTAGATGTTTAAGACTTTGGTGAAACCAATGATCACTAGACTGGTGCTGACAAATCTAGCAGCATAATCAGTGTGACGTGAGATTCGAACCCATGGTCCTAGGTTTCTGGCGTGCCCAAGGTGCGCAACTCAGCAACTTAGAAGACCACCCATGAACCCTTTCTAGGAAAGAAGAGAGTCTTGCGTTTTGTGCTGCCTAAATATCACAATATGATAAACAATGATAAACCTATTCAGGTACTTTCACCTCTGAGTGTATGAGTGTGTGAGCAAAAGACTGTAGGCAGACCTCAAAGTTGCGACTAAAATGGTCGCCAATGCGACCTAAATTTCAATTTGTCTACTGTCTAAAATTCAGAGGTAGCCCAATGTCTACCTTGAAAAATATCTTGTGGCGACTAAATTCTATTCTATTTATGTAGACACAAACATAAACATGTCTGCTACTAACTGTACTCGCAAATACTTCCTCTAAAAGTCAACAATGAACAAAAATACATAAATATTAATGTAAGTAGTATTATATTTTAGTTGATAGTTTATTGTATAAGCAGGATACCTATATAATCTAGTAACATAAAATGCATCATTGTTCGAATTACAAATAACAAAAATCAAGTACAGCATGTACAGTATCCACTAAAATACAATAGTAGTTATTTGATAAAAGATAATTTCAAATGCTTTTGGCTACCTGCACTATTGGCTCGACTTCTTAATTTTACCAGTGGCTACCTGGACAAAAATACTTGTAGCCATATGGCTACTTGGTAAAAATTTAAACTTTGAGGCCTGGTAGGAGAGTAGGAATTTATGAGCAGAGGAGTGAAGGACTGTATGAGACATATGATACTACTATGCTATTGATTTAATGGCTTCAGATATATAAACTCCAGAAACTGCTTGATTGATAAGGCTGCTGCAGACTGTGACAAAACAAATTAGCTGTATAATGTGAATTTCTCCCAACTGAACACAAAACTTTGTATTGTAGGCTGTGTCACTTTTAAGAAATAGGTATCACTATGTTTGTTTTGCTTTTATCTGAGTCTGATGATGATGAAATGACATATTTACCGTAATAACTGACCTTGACTCTAGGGAAATTGACACAGTA